CCCCTCCTCTTCCCCCTTCTCCCCCTTTTCCCCTCACCTTGAAATAGTAGCGCGCCTCATCCTCCGACAAGAAGAGGCCGCCCCGGTGGTGCACCGTGTCCCAGCGGTCGGACACGTACTTGGTGAGCGTGCCACCCGCGGCGTACTCCATTACGATCGCCAGGTGCGTCCTCGTCAAGATGACCTCCTCCGCGTTCACCACGTTCAGGTGGCCCTCGCCCAGCTCGCCTTGGATCTGGCGCCGCGGCAACCACGCGCACGTCAGGCGCGGCCGAAAAACGCGCGCTCGCGCCGTCCGGGGCGCCGCGCCCGGCGCCATGAACCAATGACTCCAAATTACCACGCAGGGCCAGCCCGGCAACAACAATGGTCCCAGAGCGCCGTCCGATGCCCGAGGGGGTCAGAACGCGGCTCAGGACGTCCACATCCACAGCCGGCGCGTTCCGCGCGCCGGTGCGCAGCAAGACGTGGGCCGCACCCTCGGCCATGCCCCCCGGCCCCTCCGCGGCGCCCAAGGGATGCGAAAACCCGTCACCCCCGGGGCCGGGCCACGCCTGCAACGGACCCCCAGCCTTCCCATCCGCGCGGCTCTCGCCACGCGCGCCCGCGCAGCATTCCCCAATCCTTCCTCGAAACCCCGTCCCCGGGCCCGAACGGCCTGAGCCCGCCCGACGCTCCCCGGACGAAATCCCCCCTTCAGCCCCGGACCCCCCACGATTCCCCCCCGACCCGTCCGCACCTGGATCTCGTGCAGCAGCATCTCGTGCAGCACCTTGGGAATCGGCCGCCGGATCATCTTCACGGCCACCTGCCGCCCTGTGTCCCGCTCTCGCATGAGCCAAGTCTCACCGGAGCCGCCCTCGCCCAGCGCGTCGATCGGCTGGAAGGCCCCCTGTAGGCCGAAGTCCGGGCCCTTGGGCTGCGGCAGCGGGGGCGGTTGCTGGGCGGTGGGCTGATACGGCCGGTCGTAGTGGTGCGAGCCGTTGGCGCTGTGCAGCGAGGACGGGTGGCGGTCCAGCCGACCGCCATGGGACTCCTTGCCCATGCACAGCCCCATGGCGCCCGCCCGTACCGCCTCGCTCGCTCGCTCGCGCCCTGCCTGGCCGGCGGACGGCGGAAAGGTGGGCCGGCGGTGGGGCGGGGGGCCCTTTTGGAGGCGGCGCCCTGATCCTGGGGCCACTCGAGCTGGGTGGTGGGGGAGGGCGGGGCGGCGGGGCGACACAGTCAATGTCAAAGGGGTTGCGGGGCTGATCCGCGGAATGCAGGGCACGACGTGTGAGGTACTCCAACCGACTCCGTCGCCTGTAGTTAGGGACGGCTGCGGCCGTACAACGGTACCTAGGAGCTTGTCGGTGACGTGGGGAAAGGAGAGGACCCCAAGGCCCGCGGCGGTGCGTTGGTGCTGTGTGGCGTGCTTGACGTTGTAGCCTCGGCTGCTGTCAGGCAGAAAGTGCTCGCACGCCGGCCAGCTCGCTTCCGGCGGAAGTCTGGCGTTCGAAAATGCGGTCGAGGTCCCACGGCGGACGGGGCCGATAGGGGGCGCTACTGGGGCCGGGCGCAAGAATGTATGAGGTTCCCAACGAGTTATGGTTGGGACACGCCTGAGACCGCACGAGGGATGACAGGTGGACACGCAGCCCGAGGGGCACGAGGCCAGATTCCCGACGAGGGCGCGAAGCGCCCGAGTCGGGAATCTTGGCCGAGTGCCCCGAGGGCTGCGTGTCCACCTGTCATCCCGAGTGCGGTCTCGGCGTGTCCCAACCATTACGAGTTGGGAACCGGGCTGTCCCCACGGTACACGAGAGGCCGGTCCCTGACTGTCATACGCCCATCATTCAAACCACAGTCCGCCAAAACTGCTGGCCATACAGGCGGCGCTGCCAGTGCCCAGCGCGCAGTGTGCTCAGGGAGCGCCGCGCAATGCGGCGCTGTGCCCAGGGCCACTGCAGGCAGCCGCTCCTTGCCGCGCTCATGTGCCCACTGTGCGGAGCGCGCCCCAACACCTTGAGATCTGCCCATCGTCTTGGCCACCGATGGCAGGGGCACCGACCCTCGATCGCCACGAAAATCAGCTGCTGGCCAACGGAAGGGAGCCCGATGGAAGTCGGACCTTGAAGGGCAGGGCGCGTGGGGTGCTGACGAGCGCAACCTCTTCGTTTGGATCGTTAGCTTGGTGCGGTTGTGCAGAATTGCTCAAGCAACGATTGCCCGATTCCCGTCGGCATGGGCTGATCTCAGCACCCGGGTTTTGCCCGTGCGACGAGCGAGCGAGCTGAAAACGTCGCGTGTCAGTTGCTGACTTCTTTTCGCGTGCTTCCTGTCGTGCCTGCGGAAATTGCGCTTGGCCAACGGGAATTCCGGCTGGGCGGCGGAAACTGCGCTTGGGCCAGCGGAAATTGTGCCAGGGCCAGCGGAAACTGCGCTTGGACCGGCGGGTAGCAGGGGTACGATCCCCGAGGGAACGGCACCCCAAGCGTTGCTTGCATTGTCTTGATCGTCGACGTCCAGAATTGCCTTGTGGGGAAGGCTTACGCCAGCCGATCTTGCCGTTTCTTCGTCCAATCCGTGCATGCTAGGTTGACCAAGTCGCGGGCGCTCTGCGAGTGGGGTTTGGCGCCTTTCGCGCGCAGTTCTGCTGGAGCTTTCGCGCGTTTTTTCCGGTCCCGCCACCCTCGCCTCGACGTGGCGGGTGTCGCAGTACTGCGGCTGCCAGCTCGGCGCTGGCCAGTGGCAGGCGCCAGAAACGGGACATCCAGGGCGGGAATCGCTGGGGGGGGGGGGACTCGATGGGGTGGGTGGGACATGTGGCTCTGGTTGGTGGGACTCGAAGGGGGGGGGTGGGACATGTGGTTCTGGTTGACCCTCGCCAGCCCGGACGCCCAGAGCCACATGTCCCGCCCCCGCGCCAGGGCACAGGGGGGCGGAATCCGCGATTCCGCCCTCCTGGTGCGTGGAGCGGGGGCGGAATCCGCGATTCCCGCTGCCGTGGTGGGCTGGTACTGGCTGATTCCCGCTCCTCTGAAGTATTGCGCTTATGTACTAACCCCAAAATTACCGTGCGGACAGGCGGTATTTCAATGGAATGGAACACTATTCGATTCATCACAGGGTGCTCCCAACGGTGCCGCGCAAAGGAAGCCAAGCTGGACACTGTTCAAGTTAACGCATCTTTGTGCTTGAAAAGTCCGTTTGTGCACGGTTGCGATGGATTGGATGTTTGCACACCGTGGGTGACGACTGTGCTGGTTGGGATGAACAGAAACACACCACCGCAGCAAGGTAAAAGGGCAGCAGTGCAACATGATAATGGCACAGCTTGGCCATTGGCGCATGAAACACCTTCGAATGTGCGCAGACTTGCAGAATCGCTTGCCCAAAGGCACAAGGAGGTGGATCGACTGGCGGGGAGTTTCCAATTTCAAGGATAGGTACAGTTGCAAAGTATCAAAATATTTCGTCAAGGTTTTACTGAGCAACGCGCAAGTCCACAATTTCATGTTGTGCGGGCACGATGCGATGGCTGTGTGGCACCCACCGGCGAGTTGATCGCCTCCACATCCCCCTCCACGATGCCATTCTATTATTGGGCTGCATCTGTCCTCCAACCTTATTGACGACCCGCTTATATTGCAGGCCAGCCCTATACTGCCGACGAGTGCACTTGAATGTACAACGTGCTGACTTGAGTTCCTGTTCCACAGCTGGGTAACGTACTACAGCACATGAGCACAAAGGGTGGCGCTACTGGGGGCCGGGCGGTATCAAAGGGCCGCTGTGGCAATGGCCCACGCAGCATGCCACATCAGTGCGAGAGCCCACCAGTGGGCTTCCGCGCTGGAGTTGTCTGCGAGCTGTGGGCTGGAATATTCCATTACATTAATGTATCGTGACACATGGGCGGGACCTTCTTGCACACAGCCAAAGAGCTCGGGGTGTCGCGGTCGGGAAGCGACTCTTTAGCGCTTTGCTAATCACACAAGACAGGCTCTGATTCTGAGTGCCTGGACCCACAGTATCGATGCATCGAGCGTTGGGCAAGCGCAAGATCTAGATGCACCAATCGCTGGAGGCTGTTGAGGGGGCTGCAAAACGTCATTGATGAGTGGAGGATAGCCGTGTGCATTCCGAAAACCAGCCCCACAAAACAGTTCTCTGTAAGATTGGTTGATTGGTTGTTAATGCGTACGAGTGCAAGTCCCCAAAGGCAGCTGCACCATTGGTGTGCCATTGCGCTTCACTGGGAGAATATCCCTGTGTCTCTTCTGCGTGGCAATCCGCCCTGTGCCTCGCATTTGCATGTGAACCTATTTATGTCGTGCTGCTCTGCTCCCATTATCTGAATCTGGGACCATTTCCCATTGTTTCCATATTGACTACACGTCACTATTGGAATACTGGGGTCAAAACTCGTTGCGGCCTCGATTGCTGTCGAGCTGCCGACATTCAATTGAATGCGGGCAAGTCGATGTGTTTGCAAACGCGCTGCGATCTGGCGAGCGCAAAGCGTTCTGCTGGGGGAACGTGCAGGTGAAAGCGATGACAGTCAGCATGGCAGAGCACGCGGAAGAAGTGGCTGGCTCCCAGGAAATCTGACGAGGCTCAACCAAATCGCTCGACCGCGGTGAAGGATTGCTAGCTGTTGTGCTCCCAACACAATATCGATTCTGGCCGAGAGAGGCGCAACATCGCCCGAATCTTGTGCAGCGCGAGGATGTGGGGAGGAGTTGGAGAATTTGAGGAACGAGATATCAAGGGACGTGCCAAATCGTGCATCGGGGTGCTCAGATGCGATGATGGACGAAGGGTCGGTGAACAAATCGAACTGTCAACTGAGCGAATCGAGCAGGTCCAGAGCCTTGCATGGATTGGCTGAGGTCCCGTGCGAACCTGTTGGGGCATCTGAGCGGGCATGAGAGGTGAGGCAACGGAGTGGAGGCGGCGGCTGGAACACGTTCGTCCGCACTGACGATGTCCAGTTCAAAGCAGAAGTGGGGCTGAGCAGATGAAATTGCTTGCATTGATAGTGAAGTGGATGGTGCAGCCGCTCCCTTTCAATTCAGGCGATCACATTAATGGTCATTCAGCAGTGGTCAATGCAAGAGCTAGAGAGCGCGTTTGTACCATGTCAGACTTGCACGATGCACGATTCAGCTGTCAAATGTTGGTGGGCCGCTAGGCTTCTGCAACAGGCCTGGTGGTACCACACTGTGACTACAGTTGCCTGAAAAGTACCGTTCTGCCGTGCTGCCAAACATGCGGATGTCAACAAGAATGTCGCTGCAGCCTTGCCGCACACGGTCCGGCATGACTTTGATTGACCGAATAGTCAACCAGTTCGCTTGCAAGCATTCGAGATGCCCTGTTTTTCCAGCATATCCCTTCACCCGGAAACCCCCAGCGGACGACGTGCCAACAGTCGCTCCAAAGTGACATCTGCCAGTGCTGCCAACGACAGCTTCTAAGCAGAGCCGTCGCGGGTCAGGCGTCGCCACTTTCCCCGGCCCCAAGTACATTAGCCCAACGCGGCCAACAGCGTGCAGCGGCTATCCTCGCTGAATTCGGTCGGCCCCTGCCCCCTCTCCGCCGAAATGGCGGACCCCGCCCCGCCAGACGGCGCCACCTACCAGGCGACCATCAAACTCAACGAGCTGGCGGAGAGGCTCGTTCATGGCGCGTACTCCGGCCTGCAGGACGTGCTGCAGCGCCTGCCGTCCATGCCGGAGGCCGACAGGTGAAGTTCGACTTTTCAAACTGAAAAACGAGGTGTCGCACAAAGGAAATCGCCCCCTTCTCACCGCCCGAGCGAAGGCGTTGTGAGGCTCCTCGTACTGCTGCAGAAGAATATGGGGGAGCCTCCGAGTGCAAACGGGGCCTTGCGCGGCAAAGGGGGGCACGCTGTGCGTGCCCATCCCTCGGGGGGCATACCGTCTGGGGACCATCACCCCCTGAGGGGACCAGTCAATCTCTGGCATCTTGCGCGCGAAGAGTAGGTTGGATGCCTTGATTTGATTGATCGATCACAAACGGCGATCCTGCATGTGGAGGCCAACTGGCACCTCCACCTTGGTAGGGCGCCCCGCTGCAACGTCATCGTCAAGCTAACGGGGAAGGCGGGTATTTACTGTGTCAGAGTCTACTGTCCTGACGAGAATGGAACTTGCTGCTGGACGAATACTGGGAATGCAATATTTGTGCCTTCATTGCCGTGGGCCATGTATCGTTTAGGAGGGCGTTTTGGAAGGGTGGGAGATGGTGGAGATCGCGATTGGGCACTCCGAGCGGGAAAGCATCTGTGTAGAGGGAAGTGTCAGGGCGTGCGCAGTCATCAGTGCTGTCTAGTCTTGCAGTGTGGCAGGTGTTGTCCTTCTTTCTGCAGCTTCCTACTTTCCTGTGGAACCAGAGCACACAAATGTGGGTTCCAGGGAAACATGGAGCCTGTGGGAAAAACAGGCAGATCTCTAGGTGCTGGGTAAGTACAAGGGTGCACGGAAGGGAAAATTCTCACCAAAGAGAGCAACAGATCATGCAATGGACAGTGCCTCCAGAACAGAGAATATGATGGGCCCTGTTGCGCAACAGCCAAAGGGCCCAAAACGCATGAGAATATGCAGACAGAAAAATTCCAAAAAGGCTCAGCGAAACATGTGAAAATCAGATTCACCAATCTGCAACCAAACAGTGCTCACAGTTATTATGTTGCCACGCATCGCGAGGTCCTTGTAGACAGCCAGAAGAAGGCTGATGTTGTGTGATGATTTGAGTTTCAATAGAAACGCTTGCAGGTTGCCAGTACAAAACCGTTAAAGGAATGTTGGCTGGGAGGCGGGGTGGTCTGGTAATCCAGTATTCATGGGCCCACATTGGAAGACAGATTGGACGCAGCCGGGGTCATGGGCTTCAGAATTGGCTTGTTCATAGACAGACACAGAAGAGAATGCAGAACCAAGTGCCACAAGCTTGGGCATTGGCTGAGAAGCTGTGGAACTATGCCATTCAAATTCACATGAATAGAGTTTATCCACTTGGTTGATTGGGAGAGTATTTCTCTGCACTTGTACCAGACAGTCTGGGCACAACAGAAGTCACGATCTTCAGATCCCTATAACTGCCTTCAAGCATATGGGCAGGTTTGTGCAGGTTTTCTGCTTTGCCAGGTTGCGCTCTCTCAAGCATTGTTTTGTGAACTCTGCAGGCCCATCGAACTCCTCCAATATCTGCATCAGACGCGACAGCAGTTGCTTCGTCTCAGGATGGCAACCCAATGGGCAAATAAAGCCAAAGCAGTGAACACTTGTGCCCGAGCCTGGGGCGTTGCAGGGCAGCACTCAGATTCTTTCCGAGCTGCAGCGGACTCACTTGCTTACTTGCATGAAGAGCTTCAAGAGATTGCCATCCCTGCCTACGATGTGCACACCGCCTGGGAAACACTCACAACAGGTTGCTGGATTGCACCTGCGCCTTGTTGGGATCTGAGAGAGCCGCAGGGCCTCTATGCCACTGGGAACCTTGAGTACAAATTTCATCTGCAATTGCCTTTTCAGCTTGTTAACAAGTTTGATAGTATGGGCAGAGCAGCAGCTGATTGGTTGAGCAAAGGGCCTGTGAAGCCAGCAACAAAGTCAAAGGGATCACTTGCTTGCTTAGCGGGGAATTCACTGTACGAAAAGTGAAGATGAACATATCAGCAGATTCGCCAATTGTTGACTAATGTGGGCTGCTACTTTGTTATGCTGCAGGTTCATATTCTCTGCTGCCCTTGGCCATAGAGGAGCTACGGCCCCCCAAATTGCTACCACCTAACATGCAGCATGCAGCACTCAGGCACATCAACTACCAGATCCACTCTAAGTTAGATGGGGTGGGTGCACATAGCAACCATGGTCAATGTCCATCCTGCTACACAGGAACTTAGTCCAGAGCTGAGGTCTTTGCAGTTTCATGTACTTCCAGTGCCTTGCGTTAGATGTCGACCTTGTTACCGATAGTTAGTACATGAGAAGCTGTCGTTGCCAAAAGGATTTGATTCTTTTCACAGGTTCTGTGGAAAAACACTTACTCAGGTCAGATTTCCAGCTCCAAGGTGTCCTGTGCCAGCATGACCAATGGCATGGTATAGTGTGCTTTCTTTTTTTCTGCAGAGCTTTGGCATGTGAAATGACCTCTTGCATCTCAGGTTTCCAAGTTGCTCATGGGATTATGAACGAGGACAGTGGTCCTATCTATATTGCCTACTTGTCTTTGTGTGCATCGTGTCCAGTGGAACCATCTTCTGCATATTGTATCGAATGGTTGCCTTCTTGGACAGGTAACGCTACCAGAGGGCCTGGAGCTCATCAGGATCAGCAGAGGCACTGCCACTTTGATGTCCAAGGGAGAATATGAGGTGAAGCTGACACTTGTCAAAACTTCCAGACAGCCACCAGACTTGCAGGAAGAAGGTCGGGAAGGGAGCAAGGCTGGCTTCAGACCCAAGGAAGAGACAAATCAACTTCCTAATGCATGGTGGTGGCGGTTGCTGGAATTGAAACTGTTCACAGGTGCACAATATTCTCATCCAAACTTCCATCAACCAAACTCGGTGATCCACTTCCCAGGCAAATGGCAAGCACTGTTGGTGGGCATGCAATCTGCCAACATCGCTCTTTTTGTCCTCCAAAATTTATGTTATGTTTTGGAACAGAGAATGAATAGTGGTACTTGCAGGCATGCCACCCCCTGCTTGTCAGAACTGGCAACAGATGAAGGTTGGGAGATGGTGATGACCATGTTCATGTTGCTTTGATCGGATGTCGCTCCAGGAAGGACTGGAAGGTTGCTTAAGATCCAAAGCACCTTGGCACTGAAACATATTCTGACATTTTGTTGTCATGCTGTTTGCTTTCCGTTTTATTTTAGTTATGCCCAGTTATCATCATTTTAGTTTCGCTTATGTTCTGTTGTAGTTTCTGTATTAGTCTTTTGGTTGTATTTATTCTTCTTTCCTCTGTCTGTGGGAAGCTGATCATGATAATCTGGTTATTGTCAGGCTTTGTAATGTCATGTGCAACAATTTGACTTGAGCATACCTGTCTGGAATTGCAGGATCGGCACATGGCCCTCCTTTACTGCCAGAAACCCTAGCCCTTCTTCAAAATGAGATAGATGCCCGCATGTGGAGAACTGCAGAATTGTCAGACGGGGATGCCATGGGCCCCATAGACCTCATGCACCAAATTCTGCGTGAGGTTTGCGGCAGGCTGCTGATCAGCTTCGTGAGGAAGTCGTGTCGCCGCCTTGTTGCAAAGGGTGGGCCGTGGGAAGGCCAGGCACGGCTTGCAGTTGCTGCTGTGCTAAATCCAGGGTACCGAATGTACTACTGGGAGGGTGTTCCCTTCATCAGCAGCGACATGTTGCAGGGTGCGTTTTGTGTTGATGCTCAGTGTCGCTTGCGGTTCTGGCTACCTGCTCTTGACAAATTTTGACACAGACGGTTTGATATGTGCTGTGTCAATGTGTACATGGCAACCAGAGTATGCCAAATGAATGCAACAATTATGTTCAGTTGATCTTCAACAGAGTTTGTATCTCAACATGCATCAGAAGGGCCACCATTCGCTGCCAGCGGCAGTCTCTTCTCCATCCCTCTCTCGTACATTCGTCTCAGCCCACATTAGGGATGTGCAGGAATCACTGGGCAATGCATCAATGCCTAAGTCGCTTTCTATAATTGCAGTGTTTTTATTGGTTTGATTTTGGGTTTCACGGTACACTAACTATCAGAGGATTCTCGGATTTCAGCACAAAGACAACAGTGGTGGTTTAACGCCAGAATATCAATGTGTCCTGTGGATGGCCTCCACAACAGGAAAGCAGCCGGATGCAAACAAGAGCTCTCCATACCTTGAGGTGGGCACTGTGAGCAGTGGTCGCATATCCGTTCAGCACTTTCCACCGCTACCCAGCGACTATGTGAGGGAGCCTGTCGAGCTGGCGTTGAACCCATTGGAAGCTGACGTTGAGCTCGTCATGCTCCAAGCGGCGGCTGTCAATGCACAAGTCATACTTGGTAAGGCTGTGACTTCATCTGAGGGATGTGCAGCGGTTAGGTTTTCCAAGGACAGAGGAAAGCTCTTGTTGCAGTATACAGGCTCATGCCCGAATTCCCACACCCTGCTCATGCAAGCACCTCATACGTGCCTCACTGTTTGCAAACAATATGCTGGCATACTTGTACTGCAGTATATTTGCATGCTTGGTATGCAGTATGCTTGGCGGTCACCCTGTTCTGGCACCATTCACTTCTTGGAGATGCGAGGCTGTGCTATCATCGGGCATTCTGTAGCCCAAGGGCAACAGACCAATTGTGATCGCCCATCATCGATGCATGTGTGGCAAAGTGAACGCGTTTGCCTTACAGGTGTCCTTTGCCATGCGGTGAATGAGCACCGGGCAGGAAAAAAGGACTTCAGCAAGCATTTCTCCCTCCTGTACTGGAGGGAGAACTTTGAAAAGATGAAGGGGCAGCACAAGAGAAGCCAGCGGCAGGAGGCTGCAGTGTCTTTTGGTGTGTATGAGGATGTGTTACAATCCCAGGAAACCACAGGTCTTGTTTGTTAGGAGGGGGTGGGTGGGGCCTGTGGTTTATGTAATGCAGTATTCTCCCTTGTTGTGTTGGAACCTCCAAATGCCCTGACCCCCTGTTGCGGTGTGAACCAGCCCCTGGTCGACCGCAGACTTGTATAATAGGTGCGTGAATGTGGCTGAAGCTAGGCACAAGCTGAAGCACAGTTCACCGTCAAAAAGACAACACGTGAAAGCAAGACCTGTCGCGAGGCTGTTGGCGGCCTCCTGCATAGGCAGGATAATTTCATTGATCAATGCAATTTCAATGAAGAACAACAGCACACTTATATGTTTGGAATCCTGTGTAGGTCCCAAGGAACTGGGCTCCCCGGTGCTGGAATGCTATGGGGGCGGCCACCTGCTCCTGTGTGTGACATTGCATCTACAGAATGGCCGTTTGCTGCTTCACCTGGGTCCCTATGTGAAAGACAACACGAGCACCGAGCTGGCTGCAACAGTGCATGCAGTAAGTTATATTGGCAGCGAAGGTGCTAATTTGTACGCTGATGGTGGACGATCTCACTCCGCGATGGAGAACTTTTGCAGCCCGCTGATTGAAGCAGCGTGATGCAGCACAACTAAATGGGCAGACAGCCACCATAGTGTGTGCTCTTGTATAGAGTCATGGCGTTGCATGAAAGTCCAGCAGTTGGCTTTTGCGCAGTGTTCCTTTGTTGGGAATTGGCAAGTGACTTTTAGAGGGCAAGTTCAATGTGTGCGTGTGTAAAAGCATTGATGGCATTTGCTAAAATGTGGCAAGACAGTGCCTCTGCACCTGCAAGGGATGTCCAACATGGGTCCGCATATGGATATAGAATTGAACATACAGAAATGCAGGAAACCTGTACTTGCTTTTAAATCCACTTGCAGCATGCCCAACTTCAGTTCCTGGCTTCATGTGGAAGCACTCCGTCCCTGCAAGGTGGGAGAGATGGCCAGAAAGTTGAAGAAAATCAGACCACAACTCATTACAGTGCTTGCAAGTACATTTGTGTACTTTCTGTTTGGAGGCCACGTGAATGCCAATATTCATACACTTCCAGACCACTTTCTGTGGAGGCGCCACTTTATGCCAAACAATGCCCAGCCATGCCATCGTTATTTTCCATGCAGGAGGAGGGCAGCATCAACCAGAGATGGCGCAGGTGGGCCAGGGAGCCCTCCGTCAACCCAAATGTGGTACAGAGAGTTGCTGCTCTTGGCAAGGTCGCTGGCAAGCTTTGGACGTTTGTCAACAGTGTGCAGGAGCATTGCTTTCCTGGGAGCAACACATTGCTCCTGTACGCCGCGAATCTGCTGTCCCTGGATCCTTGTTCCCCGGTCATCTCTCCGGTCTTGTGGAAGAAGTACCTTGCAAGGCATCCAGAATGGTGAGCTTCTTTTCTGCCATGTTTGGTGAACTTCACTGCTGCCTGCTTCGTGCCGCCCTGTTTGCAGATGCTTTTCAGCCTGTGGGCCATGTGAAAGGACTGGAAAGGCTCAGCCATGGGTGCTCCCGTGGCATGGCTGGCTCACCATGTTTTATGAATCATTCCACTACTGGATGGCAGCAAGCACGTCCGGTGCTTGTGTTTGGCCATGTGTGAAGAAGACATGTGCCACAGTGAATCTGCCACTTGCTTGCCTGCAGTCCGGCACCCCGCAACAATGACATCCAGCTTGCATTTCCGGCTGCACCCTTCCCCAGAAGTTTCCCACCATTGGTGAGACAGGCAGACAAGTCCCAAAGGGTGCCACAATCAGGTGAGGTGGTAGGGCCATTGCATTATTTGGGGCTCCTGTTGTCAATGATCTTGCAACTCCGGAAGGTGTGATAAAAATCTGTCCGATGGATTGGCAAAACACAATCCCCACTCCAATGCAAAGAATAATGAGCGGACATGTGTTCGTTGTTTCCAGGCGTTCATAATTAGCACAAAAGAGGGGCTGGGCAAGCAAACTTTGCGATAATGTACCTGTCAACTATGCGACTGCATGTCTTGCTAGTAGCCCACTGTGGTGGCATTTTAGTTGCCTGAAAGCACATAATGTCATCAGGGAGGCGCACCTCTTCAGATATTGTGCGGGCCTCCATGGTGGATGTTCGCTTCTACTTAAGGATCGCCGGGAAAGGTGTTGAAGACAGGAGTTATCTTCTTGTCATAATGGGCGTCGATGCTGCCGGGATGCCAGTGGAGGTGTGCACTTTTCGATGGCTGTAGCCAGCAAAAGCCTGTGTCTTGTTGACATGAGGGATGGCTCATACAGTAGGTGCTGGTCAGTTGGCAATACGGAACGAAGGGGGCGATACAGTGAGTATTCCTCTTGGGCAAGAGCTGTGAAGCAACACTATTTTTAGAGTGTGAAACCACGGGTGCTTGGTGCTGGCCAGGGTGATTGTTTGCTGGCAGTTGTGATAATGTACTTCAAGTACCAGACAATTGCAGAAGATCAGGTACATGGACCCTGCAAGTAATAGGAACTGCACAGCAATCAAGTATATTGCTTTTGCTCCGTCAGGCAGTTTCAGACGTTCTCAGCAACAGAATCTGTGCAGCACTGATTTGGTGGCACTCTTTAGCGGTAGTTGGTGAAGTGACAAGCTTGAATGAGAGTGTTCGATTCCCACAATCTCTACATAGTGCCACACATGAGCATTGTGCTTGCTTCTGGCAGTAACGTTCGTCCATATGGATGTGCGCATTGCTGCAAGGCTGCGTGGAACGTTTGCCAGCACTGTGGCTGCATACTGTGGGTCTTGGCTTAAACACGATTGGCATCGTTGCATTGTGAACGTGTTTCCCTTCTGCATATGTCATCGCATTTCCACCTTTAGGTAGTGATACTGGCTTTGCTTTCTGACTCCATCTTGGCCGAATGTGGGAGTTTTGTGCAGCGAATGAAACAGTGCAACCCATCAGATGGTGCAATGAATGGAAATGGGACAAGAGTGAGTTGATCGCCAGCTCAATACGTCGCCTTGGGGGAAGCTGCATGGCAATTTTGTTGCCTTTGAATGTGCATATGTTGAATTAGGAAAATAGACAAAAGAGCACTTGCCCCGCTGTCCTGGCTCTTCGTCGACTCAATACTGGAGTCTCAAGCATATTCCTTCACCACTTTACCCCTGCAGTACTGGAGTGAATTGTGTGCCCTTTGGGGGCGGCTCCTGTGCATGAACGCGGCCATTTGCCGTACTGTCACATGTTCTGATGGGCGTGAACTGGGTTTGTGTTCAGGTGCTCAAGTGCATCCCCTTCATTCCTCAACCAGATGAACTCCCAGCACAGGGCATCCTTGTTGGAAAGGAATGCTCCATGGGTGGTGGAAAGGGGAAGGAGGACCTGCGTCGTGGCATCAAACGAGCAAGAGAAGATGACGAAGATTCTCATGGTGAATATTTATGGCACATGGAGCTTGTGGTGATAATGGCTGGTTGGTGGGCCCTGCTGAAGTGTGCTGTAGTGTTGTGACCCCCAAATGCCACTGCATAATAAGGCACAAAGCATGCACATTCTCAACAAGAGTGGCTGTGAATCCCAAAACAGGGTAGATGCATGATTTTGCTCAGAAATGGCCACGGTGTTCGGATGGGCTTGCTTGTGTGCATGGAAAAGTCAGTGGCCCTCTTGCACTTTGCTGCAGCTGCGAAAGCCCAGAGAAGTAGTGAGGACAGTCTGCTGTCTGTTTCATCCTCTCCCGGCCTCAGCCTGCCCAGCCTCTCAGATGTGGAAATGGAAGATGTGGAATCTGCGCCCAAAGCTCTGCAGGGTGGCAATGTACCCGGCCTAGCTAACCCTGATGCGGGGGCCCTGATGGAGGTGGTCAGGTGGTGCCACAAGCTCATAGTTAGGGAATCGCTACTGCTCCAATTGCAGGTAGGACGGTAATAGTCCCCCATCGGTCGAAAAATTGCCAATCCTTGTGTGCGCATTCACCCTGCAATTAGTTTGTCTTTGCAAGACTTTCCCTTGGTCATTGGTGGTGACTGAGGCATTTTCCTTAGCAAACTGGTCATCAGTCGTTTGAAGTTCCTTGAGGGAACCGTAAGCTGCACTGAACTGGGCATTGTTACCATCTATGCCCCCAACCTTGGATTTCTATCAATTGCCCTGTAAAAGAAGAAATTATTTTGAATTTGTACGCTTAGCTCCAAATGGACGCTAAGCAGTGAAGGGGTCCAGACCATGGTCACTAAGGGATGACATGATTGCACTAAATCAAAATAAGGTGGGAAGATGGACAAAAACGCTGCTGATCAGTGGCAGACAGCACATGAATTGTTCCAGAACCTTCCTCAAGTTGTCAATCTTCGAGGAAGTCCTCAGAATGGATCAATTTGTGGCCTTTGTGGCTGCTCCCATCGCCTATCATGGCTTTGAGCATCTCATTTTTCAACCCATTACAATTGCGACAACTTTTTCCCCCTATAAAGCTTCTGGAAGCTGTATCGTACTGTTAGGCAATGTTGCTGAGTCATTCTGGCATCGAAATAAGGATTGGCATTAAGAACGGGGGGGAAGGGGGGGGTCTGCACTTAGCATCCGTTTGATGCTAAGCATACAAAATTCGAATGGTGTCTTCCCTAATGTGTTGGTTCGTGTTCATTCTTCGATCTGAAAGCCATGTTGCACAGGCATTGGACTTGCCATACATGGAAGAATACAGGCACCAAACCTCCGGTGAACTACGGTGGTGTGTGTGGCTAACTGGCGGCAATGGGACTGGGGGCACTGACAGCGATTCACCCACGCCCGAAGCATCAACACTGGCTGATGTGGGGCCTGTGGAGTTGCAAATACCCAATGACTCTCCATTCGGTCTCTGGACGGCTCACATAACGTCCAGCCAGCTGTCAGGTGAGTCTTCGCGAAACACCTACAAGCACTCGCAAATCTGGCTTGGATTTCTTTTGTGGCAAGCACGAGGATGTACTGATCATACATCTCACTATAGAGATGGGCAAGCTATCCGGAATGCGAATGTGTTTCACAGCAAGAATGCCTTACTGGCTGCCCTGGCTTACGTGGTGCTACACGGCCTTGTGTCGCTTGGAGGCAAACGCCGTGCCTGGCATACAGTTGTAGTTGGCAGCGAAGTTACAGGATCCCATGTTGGCATTCACGTTGCCATGGCATGTGCCATGCCAACAGTCACCTGTGAATGGGAACAATTGGATGAACTGCACTAAACTGGCTGCCACTGCCACATCGTTGGTCCCATCATATCGTTTCAAATGGGCTGCAGTAGCGTGTCTGAAACGGCTTCCATCCTCCCAGCATGCATTTTGCACCCACTGGTGTGAGCTTGCACGTTTTTGAGATGCTTAACTTTCATTACAAAGATGCTTCTCTGCTTTTTCTTAAAACAGACCACTGGGAAGCCAGGTGAAGCACCTACCACTGTGCTTGGGGTTTACAGCCTCTCTATCATTACAGTGCTCAGCGTGAACTTTCTTCTGACCCTTGCATCCTAACGCATGATGCGAAGCAAGGTGCCTGCAAGGCCATGAAGGGCGTATCCTAAATATAGCGCAATGAGGGGTCATGGCACATTACTCTGGCGCATCGAGTCTAAACGCTCTATAAGGCAAACGTGCCGCCAGCGCAGCACTGTAGTAACGTGCAGACTGCCATTCTTAACACGTTTTGCGTTTTCAACACATTCGACGCTTTATGGCAGTGTTAACGCTTTTGTGGTGCACTTTGAAGCACATATTGGACAAAGTGGGTGCAAGCACAAACACCAACTCTTGCACCATGCTCGCCTAAGCGTTCATTTTTCCCTTTGCTTTATGGCGCCAACGTGGTGGCGTGCGAACCGTGTGATGATGCTGCTTGTGCGTAACCCACAGACACCATTCGGAGCTGCACGGCGCTGGGCGATACTTGGGGAGACGCCGTCTCGCTTGTCCCGGAGGGTGTGGCCCTCAAGTACCACTTGAATAAGGGGCAGACGGTGCTCGCCCTGGTGCAGCACCTGCAGTGCATTGCAGCCACGCAGGTGCGGATGAGCTGGCCTGAAATCATTGCTGGGTCGCTCCAGCCCTTGGATTGCGTTGTCTTTTGTGGGGCGAACAAGGAGCCTGTGCGTGGCAGGTGGCGTCCTACTGCACTGAAAAATGGCAACCTGTATGGTTGGTGAACAGTTCACACCAAGTATGGAGGCCGTTGCACTGAACTGTCTGTCATGAAATGATCCACGCAGAGACAGACTTGCTGATTGCCATTTTACCCACATCTTCCCACAGTATCCACTAAGGATTGGAGCATTTTGGGGGAATGGAAATCACATCGCACAGATTTTTTCTCTGTGATTGGACACGCCCAGCTGGGGCGTATGTTCCTTAACAGCCTTTATTGGCTCTGGTGGCTTGCACTGTGGACTTGTGTGAGATTTACTCCTCGTTGAGCACACCACTTTTGCCCAATGCAGGCGTTCATCCGCCAGCTTCGCTTGCTGGAGCGTACAGGCGCGTCCGGCCTGTGTTTCGATTGGCCAAAGACGGGCCGTGTGACGGTGGAGCAAATTGGGTTGTCCCATGTCGCCCTGGCCTGTGAAGATGCTGCCTCTGCTCACGTTGTGAAATACACAGTGGCTTGGTCGCCTTGGAAAGAGGGCAGCAGCAAGCAGAACCGGAAGAGGCAACAGCAAGATGGACATGGTCAGCCAAATGCAGGCAGGAAGCAGGGACGCAGCAATTTCAACAGCGACGAAGCAGCTGGTATGAGATTTGTGTGGGATCGAGTTTACATGTGGACATGGGCCAGTTTGTGGGGGCCTGTCTCTGGCGGATGGACAACAAGCATAACAGGAGACTGTCATCATGTTGCAATTTGCATCATTGTGTTTGTGTTCACAACGGATGGTGCAGTTCTACACAACAGCCCCTCCAGTGGTCTTCCCATGGTATCTGCTGCGATTTCATGATCCTGACTCCTCAGCAGCGCTGATTCAAATAAAGTGTGCATGTTGCACATGTGTTTTGCACCCAATGTGCTCCAGCAAAGTGGTGACGTCCCTATGGCTCGTCATTGGCTCCAATGCAGGGATAAGATGCTCAGTGAGCAGCAGCGAAGCTGGCATTCCAACGGAGGTACTCCGCGAGTATGCGCTCATGGTGGAAGCTGGGGAAGGGGGCCTGTTTCTGGACGCAATAGGTATCACATCGGGCCCCCTGGTCCAGCTCGTGGCCGCCCTTGCCAGTAGCGACGTCGATGTGGCAGAGGACAGGCCTGCCACTCGCGGCCTCATTCCCACGTACCCCCCCTACAAGTACAAGATTTACATGCGCCGTGGCAGGGAGCACAAAGTCACTGCAGACGTGCTTCTGTTCGCTCGGGGATGGGCGTACGTCCTCCCTGACAAGGCGGCCAGAAAACTGGGTGCCGTGGAGGAGATTTGCCGTTCAGAGGGGTTTTACAGGCCAAGGGGGAAGCCAATGTCTGCAGGGGGATTCTGGGTGGACAGGGCCAAGTTTGCCACAGATGGGCAGTCCCCATTTGAAAGTGTCACCAGCTTGCTACTGAAGAAGCTGAGTGGGACGTCCAGAGGTTGAGGTTTTGTGCGTGTGTTCTGGCAGTTTGAGTCGTTAGGCACAAGCAAAGGAACAGGGATGAGGCTGGGGATTTAATGCAGCTTGACCAAGCTAATCTAGGTGTCAAGTAGTGGCTAGTGCAGGGGTGACATGAGGATCGAGAATTGAATTTGATTGCAGAGCAGATCAAGAAATGCAGAAACAGATTAAATGCACATGCCAGGTTGCAGGGCATGAAAACATTCATAAGCATGTTGTAAACCATGGGGTTGCCATATGTACTGCGATCATAGTTTGGAGATGACCGGGAATTGGATGCTGGCCTGAAACTTGCCAGTGTCAGCTATTCTGTGTTGACTGATCTGCAGCAACAACATTTCCACTCCAAAGTGCCCAGGCTTCTCTTCTTTGACATCGTGTCCTTAAGATTGCAATCATTTTCATGCCACCGATCTTTGGGATTTTACATCAGCATTTCCTTCCGAGGTGGCATAACGTCCGCAGGTCTTCTGCTGGAACAGGGTCGGCTCTCGGACTCTCAAATGTGATGCAGTACAAATTTTCGTATTCGTGTCTGGGATTCAAAGAAATCACACAATTCACACACATGTCACGCATTTTTGCCGCCAACCCCCAAACACCTCCCAAGACTGGGCGTTCACCACACCTCCCCGCTTCAGAAACCAGGCCGTACTGCTGCGCAGCGGCGCCGCAGGACCTGCCCGTGCGCCCGCCGGTGGGTTGCGGAGTCCACAACCCGGGGCGTCACCACAAACTACACCGAATAACAGACGTCGGCACGCACTCAACGTCCTCCGAGGCCGATCCTCCGCGCTCTCTGGCAGAGAAGCCATCCGGCGCTGCTGGATGGCTTCTTCGCACCTCTGCGCGCCTGCAGCCATGGCAGGGCATGCAGGTGGGGCCACGCCTGTGCGGTCGGTGTACGGAACAGCTCTCAGAGGGGCAGGGCGGCGGGGTTGGGCTGCAGGTCCGAGCCTGCTCACCGTCGGTAAGGACATCCGGGCTTCGGTGAGTGGGTGGGTGACCGGGGCAGGGGGGGGGAGGGGGGAAGCCTGAGACGACTGGCGATGTGCGAGGACGAACACAGGGGCATGTGTCTCTGCAGGGACTCCTCTGCAATAAGAGGGGAGTCGTCGTGTAAGCAGGAGCGCTGGTCGTCTTCCCTGTTTTCAAGACCGACCAAAACGGCAAGACTGGACCAGAGAATTTGTACTGAAACCTGGGACAGTAGGAAGAATTTTTGAACTTTCTAGACATTGTTTACTTTTCCAATCGAATATCTTCAGAGAATATTTCAAGAATGGGGCCATGGAAAAGGGAGCCAGCTGGCAGTTTTTTTAAGCGGGACCTGCCCATCGCCCCAGCGAGGCGGGCGAGGCTGCGCCGGGCGGTGCGCGGCGCAGCGCTCAGCCGTCGCGCCGGCTCGGCTGCTCCTCCCCGGGCGCTCGCCGCCCCGATCGCTGCTCGCCATGTACCGCCGGCTGTCCGGGATGCTTCTCCGACGGGCCGCCCAGGTCGGCCGCGCCAGCGGGGCCGCGGACGTCAAGGGCGGCGAGGCGATGGCGGGGGCTGCGCGCCGACCGGGCGGGGGAGGGATGGAGGACCTGCACGGCAAGGCGTACCAGATACATTATCACTGGTGGATGGGCAAGGTGGGTTTTTGTTGGTGGCAGTCGACGAGGATCTTTTGCCAGTCTTGGGCTTGGGATCCGATCCTGGGGGAATTGCGGCCTTGGGATCGAAAAGCCGATGGGGGACAAGTGCTGGCTAGGCGCGAGGGGCGTAGTTTCTGGGACATGATGTCGATTTTGAGGACGTGAGGAGAATGGGAAGTGAGGTCGATTTTGGGAATGGCAGGGCTTTGTTTTGTCAATGCGCCTTCGCTGATTGGACGCGCTTCTGGATCTGGGGGTCGCTGCGAGTGCCTGTCGCGAATCATGGGCTTGTACATATCAATGCCATTTACACAGTTTCCAAATGCAGTTCGCTGTTGTTTGTGCAGTGTGTCGGTGTTCGCCATTCTTGGCCTGGCAAGCTCCACGTTGTTCCATTGTCCAGCCCCATACCCACTCCGGGCTGGACATATCTCCCAGTCAAGGAAAAAAATTGTGCAGTGTGAAGTAGTTCGCCCAGCTGCGGCTCCACAACAGCAACCCTGTGCTGCATCGCCAGGCGGCAGCTAGGTTCCGCGTTGTGTCCTGATGGCAAACAAGCTGAGGGGGAGCAGTGCTAATTGGGTCTCAAGGCTGGCACTGCTATTTTCTTGTTCAGTTCTGCATTAGATAGCAAATTTAGGAATTTAAGTGCCATTCCCGTCCAAATAAGGGTACTGGGTCTGTTGCCCACCCGCACGGCAAACAGAGTTGTTCAGGAGCTCAGAAAGGCTTTGTAGCAATCCAAATTTGCAGGGTGTTTGCTTGTGAGGGAGTTGCGCCTTGGTGCTGGGGATGAAATGCAGGCATTTGTAATCACAGGCACCAGGCCCACCCCAGACACAATGGCCAGTCGTTTTCTTGGCGTCTATCATCAGCGGGTGCTCAGCCGCTGCAGGCACTATGTACTGGTAAGAACCCCTCCTCACACCCTTCATTGTGAGCACCATGTTTCACTGCCAGATGCCATCCTGTTTGCCTCCAGTGAACACCACATCATCTTCTGCACTGTGGGCCAGAGCTGACAGCTCTCAGCCTCTTGGCCTGTGCAGCGGGAAGAATAAATAATGCAAACTGTGGAAATAAGCACTTGTGGAGTCGGACAGAAACTGTCATCGCCCAATGGGTGTATGCCAGTGCTTTTCCAGCGCCAAAGAGGATGTGGTCATGAAGACGCAACTGAAGTCAGCGACAGTGTGCAAGCAAAGACTCCAATGCTAAGAATGGGATGGACTCTGTGTGAGCTGTTTGCAACGATCACTTGCACTATGTGCTGCGAAATTTGCGTGCAGCTCTGGTTTGTGTGTCATGGTGGCTTATGGGTAAAACAGTCGATCTCAAGGTCCAGTCTGTCTGGCACAAACAGTGTATGAGAGTCTTCCAGATCATGCCCCATTGTGTCGGTAATATGAATCATGTCAACAGATCAGTTGACATATTTTTATCTTTATGTTTTCTTGAATGGAAGGCAGGCATATAATGAAAGAAAATTGAAACGAAATGTATGGAATCAAAGTTGCTGTAGTCAGAATGCAGTGGGTACCATGTGTGACAGGGATCCATGCTGTTTGCTTTTACTTTTTTCAATTTTTGTGCTGTTGAAATGGGGAGCGCGCTGACTGTGGGGATGCAAGGTGCATGCAATGTTGGCTGTTCAATGGATGCAAATTGAGGATACTTGGCATCGGGCCCCTTCCAACTTTTCTTAATGCCTGTCTGCCTGTCACACGTGCGCTTGCAGGATGGACCACCGTCCCCAGAAACCGGGGCCACTAAAGGGTGGGCTGGAGGAGACCCGGTGGTCCTGGTACCCTGCCCTCGGATTTGGCGCAGCTGGCACAGCAGTTGCTGGTGAGTTGACTTGCACTGAACTGGGATGCCTTGCATTCCGCTTCGAGCAACACAATGTTACATCGCATATCACATGCTTGACCCATCAGCGTGAAGCAGGACAGTTGTGTATCGGCCAATCTAGCACTCAATTTCTGTCAGCCTAGCTGCAGGTGAGCACAGTTGCACGCATTTCTGCAGAGCAAGGGCCTCGATATGGTTGACAAGAGACCAGGTGTCTGTTTGTGAGGGAATCGGCGATTTTGCTGGGACCCTGTTGCCACAGTGCATGGTGCAGAGCTTCAGCCATTAAAAGATCCTTTTTGGATGCTGGTTGTATTGGGGCAGTTGTGTTCAGCTTCCCAGCTGGATTCCTTTGATGGCGTTTGCGATAAGGCATGACAAACAACGCCTTTGCATCCTGAAGGCGATGACTGGTGCAGGATTGTTGCGCGTGTTTACTGTGGTCTGCCTAGTGTTGAAAATTATTACTGTAGTATATTGTGTGGTGCTGAACACAATGCCCATTAGAAAGGATCAAATGGCCACAATTGTCACTTTCAGCCTGCATCTCAAGCTTTGCCACAACTGCATGACAGCCAGGTGCTTTTGCGTGTCAATGAGTGTGCATTGCCAGGATTGGTGTCTTGTGGATACAAGCCAATCCAGGACAATACGTGCTTGAGGGAATATGCCTGCTATCGCCTACAAGATACACAAGCTGTGGTTTGTCAGGATTGGAGAAATGTATGCCAACGAATTCGGTCATGTGGACAAAGCAGCTGAAACGTCACCCCATGCATCTGAAAATGTCATCTGTTGGCTTGCCCATAGCAATGTGTGTGATTCTGGGTGTGCACTGCACAGCATGCTCTTGTTTCTGTTCCCACCAGGATTTCTGCATTGTGTTGCAGGCGTGTATTCCCAAGCCTCGCAAGCCAGGTCTGAGGTACCCACTCCCAGCAATTCGGCCCCCAGTGGAGGGTTGAGTCCACACTTCATTGCTGATGCTGCGTCCAGGGCTGCACCAGCCGTGGTGAACATCACTGTCCATCAAGACGGAGGAGAAATCCCGGACTGGTTTGGCCTCAGGCTGCAAGACAGGTCAGATGTGCTCAAATGCCTGCGTGAATGTTTCCCACTCTCCTGGTGCAAGTGGTCTCCAGCAAGGTGCAAGATCAGTGTTGTGGAGTGGCAGATGCAAAACTGTGGGATGCATGTGAGCTGCATAGAATTTCTTCCATGCTCTTGACCATCTATTGTTGGTTGTGCTCCGAAAGCATTAGCTGGCGGCATGGAACCCCCTTAAGTGCACCATTAGTGCCTTAGGTGTGTCTGTGTTCTTCTGATGTTTAAGTAGCCAGGTGCTTGTGCTCTAGGCTACTCATCATTACCTGCACTGTTGTGTGCCATTCCAGCACATGTTGCCCGGTGTCTAGTTGGCAGGCACTCCTCACACAGATATCAGACTGCCTTTTGCTGCCTTTTAGTTGTCGTTGTTGTTGTTTGTGCTTGCTGCTCCTCAGTTTATCCAGGGATCCGAAAAGAAATGGCAGCATTTCTTCATCCTGTGCTCATAGATCGCATGCAACCCAGCGGCAAGATAGTTTCACCCAAACTGGATGCAATTTCGCCCATCTAAAGTTGTAATTCATGTGTGCCTTATTTGTTAAGGCGTGTCTCTTACTGGCAATGTGCAGGTCGAGCGGTTCGGGATTCATATTTGCAGATGACGGGATGATCCTGACCAATTTTCATGTCGTCGCTGGTGCCATCACTTCCCGCCCACCTCCCTCCAATGGCAAAGGCGGCACCAGCCTGCTTGTGTCGCTTCAGGATGGCAGAGTTTTTGAAGGAGAGGTTGTCAACTTTGACAAGTAGGTAACCCTGCTTGTATCCAAAGCCTGACAGCTTACTGCCCCTGCACCTGTGAAGGGATGATGGGCGCCTTGGGTGCAGTCAACGAGTTTGTTCGAAGCCTCTTTGATTGCGAAATACAAGGGCAATATAGCTCACAGGCATCCTGTGTGCTCTTGTGTAGTTAGAGCTTGGGGTTGGGGTATGCCAATTGCCAAAGAGATAAGTGGTCATAGTTAAAGATGACGATTTCGGCGAGTAAACTGTGCCGAAATTTGGATGCTCAGACAGAACAGGGCCTTTGCATCTTTGGGGCGATGGTGAACAGCTGGAAACACACGTTGTCTTCTTTCGATCAGTTTGGCAGTGCGTGGTCCCAGATTTTGCACTGGGCCGGGCATGGCAGATTGGGCCTTCCACACGCATGGGATGCATGTTGTCCTGCACTGTGATGCAAGAATGTCGTATGCTTGCCTTGTCAGTTATCATGAACAAGGTTGTTTGGCCCATTGACGTGTCATCCATTGATGCACATGCTCATGGCGTGCTTACCTTAGGCAGCACACCCTTCCAGGCATTCTCAAGTTGATGCATCACATGAATTGGATCCATAATGGGAGCTTATTTTGCTCCAAGTTGTCCCATCACATCAAGTAAGTGGAGCAGCAGAAGGCAAGAGTGTCACTTCACGACGTGGTGTTTGCATCTGATTGCACCCCAACTGAATTGCTTCAGGACATCAGACCTGGCTTTGGTGAAGATAGACTGCGATGAGCCACTCCCCATTGTGAAGCTGGGCCAGTCGAGCCAGTTGAGAGTGGGAGAGTGGGTGGTCGCACTGGGCAGCCCATACCATCTGAAAAACAGTGTCACCGCTGGCATTATCAGCTGCGTTGATCGCAAAGCCCGGGAGCTGGGGCTGGCGCAGTCAGCAGGAATAGACTACATTCAAACCGATGCTGCAATCAACCAGGTCAGGGTGATACAAACATTAGCACTGGTTTTCCTGCAAGTGTGGCACATTGGTTGTGTGTCTCACAAATTCGGCATACAGATATTAAGGCAGACCTGGTATGTTGTGGGTTGTGATGCTGATTGATGGTTTTCAGCTATTCAGGCCATTCGTTGCAGTTAAATGGATGCGAGTGTTCATGTGCTTTCTTGCAAGCCCAGCATCTATGTGTGCATGTATGGCAGCAGAATCTGGAATATTGATTTGGCATTGCACTTTTGTCTGAAAATCCAGAGAATGCTCTATGACGCGAGCCTGGGGTTGCATAGAATTGCAAACTGCTCTGTGACATGATTTGAACTTTGTTTGAACAATCCTCCTGGCACATTGCCCAAGTTTGGATGTGTGCTTTTCTGCTACCTTTGCACACAGCATATCTTGCATTGGAGTATACTGTGTCTGTTTGCTGCAGCACAGCAGACACTATGTGCTGTGGGCTCCCCCAGTTTTGCAGGTTGACATTGTCTGTGCCAGTGATTCTGCGGGCAGCGGAGCTCTTGACAATCAGATGTGCTTGCGAATTGGTGAATAGCCAAAGTCTTGCATGCCAATGCAACCCACTTGCGCAGAAGATGTCCAGGCATCATCCTGGCATGTGGCCCCAACCCCCACTTGCACAGGAAGGATAAAGCAAATTAAAACATGACATCTAATCACTGAACCATCACAGCGCAGTATGTCTCCATGGCTGCAAAACATCGTTGCCTAGGCAAAGTATACCATCCCAGTGGAGCCATCGCTGTTGCATCGGGAAATCCATGTTGCTTGTGAATGCAGCTGCACTGAGTGTGGTTCATGTCAGCTCTGGTGGACCTGACAGCAGCTACATGTGCAGGGCAACTCTGGGGGACCCCTGGTCAACCTGGCAGGTGAGGTCATCGGCGTGAACAACATGAAGGTGCTGAGTGCCGACGGTGTGAGCTTTGCCATCCCCGTGGACACTGCCAAAGAGGTGTTGACCCAGCTTGCCCTGCAGGGTCGTGTGCTGCGACCTTACCTTGGCATAAAAATGCTGCAGATCAATCCACGCGTCGCAAGCCAGCTCAAGAAGCTGTCACCAACCTTTCCCGATGTCACACATGGCATCCTGGTGCCTGAAGTGACAAAGGGATCGCCTGCGGAGCGTGGGGGCGTGAAACCCGGTGATGTGATAGTGGGGTTCGAGGGAGGCGACGGGGAGGTCACCACAGGCCGGCTGATCGAGATGTTGGGGAGGTACATCGGAAAGAACATGAAGCTGAGGGTGCTCAGGAGGAGTGTGGACGGGCACCAGCATTTGGTCACTCTGTATGTCGTCGCCTCCAAGACAGAAGAGTGAGAAGCCCAACATTCAACAACAACGTGGATGATCATTGCCCCCGTCAGGCAAATATGCTGGTTGCACGGTGCTTCAACTCAGCAAGCAGTGGCAATATCATCCACGTTGTGTGGATCACTGAGGGCTTGAGGGCCATGCTTGTCCTTGAAGTCTTGGCATGCTGTATGTTGCTTGACCACTGTTGGGCAGGCGGCACCAGCTGCGTGTCGATTTTGGCCGGAAGCACCTCCTTGAAGCACCTCCATGAAGCACCTCCCTGAAGCGCCTCCCTGCGGGCAGTGGCTCAGGGCACAGTGGCCATCCGTGCTGGCAGCGCTGAGGCTGCTTCATCACCTCCAATCGCATCATGGGGCAAGGAGGCTCTGCCTTGGTGTTTTTTGTGCTGACTACATCCAGCATTCACCAAGCTGGCAAATTGCACTTCCACATTGTTGCGCCTTTGTAGTGGCTATTGAGAGATGGCCCTCCAAGGCTGTGGTTATTTGGGGCGCTGTGTCCTGTGAGCAAGAGCTCTCAGCACGATGATTGCAAGCCCAGCTCAAACCTGCCATCGTCGGGTAGCCAACACCCAGCTTTTGCTGTGGAAACTGGAGTTGAAAGACATCCTCAGCAAAGCAGAGCAGGTGTATTTGGCATCTATCCAATTGCAGCTCACTTGGACTGCTCTGCGATTGGATGCCTTGGGAGGCAGGCAGGCATGGCTCTCCCTGGGTCAGCGCACATGGGTATTTGGAAGTGCCCAACAAGTCTTGTGCGTGCTTGAGGCTTTTGCAAGCCGGCCTGGCACACCAAAATGTCATGTGGTCATTTGGGGTTCGTTCTTCATTTCTCAGAGTCATGCAGGCGTGACTCCTTCTGGTCGCATATGCGGAGGGAGGTTTTGGAATCTAGTCGACGAAACGTCGTCTAGTTGAAGTGCTGTGACGAAATAGCACAGTGTGCTGTGTGGCAGGACAGGAGAAGGTCGGTGTGAGATTGTCTTGTCACTGGAATTGGCACATCTGCAAGTTCGCCGACTCGGTTTGAGCTTCCATTGGGCTGGGCTCGAGGTAGCCTGGCCGTCGAACTTGGCACGTGCCTGCTGGGATGCTGAACTTTGTCAGGACAGTCTGCTCTTCGTATCGGATGGGAGTGCTCTTAGTCGCCCTGGATGTGTTCACGGCATTGTTTTGGTGTCTGCATTGAAGCATGGGGTTGCCCATCCGGGGCCGCAGGCTAGCGTACGTATGACTGTACAGACAGGAGCAGTTTCGTATGTGCTGGACTGTTGCACGGCTGCTTGTTGCCGTTGATTGTGTCATAGTGCGGCCTGCGTGTGTCATAGGCCGGTCATTCTGCAATGCATGCCATCTGCCCCGCAGGATCTAATATTTTTATTTTCTGCTTGGCCACCAGCAGCTGCACAGGACTGCCTTCTAGACGATGAGCATTCCATGTGGGCGACCTTGGGGGCAGTCAGCCGTTGTGGCCCTGCGGCCGCTGCAGGATATAGCGTGAATGTGAACAGTGTTCCCATCACGTTGTGGAGATTGGCTCACAAGTCACCGGGATCCGGGCATAGGCCTGGGTATCTGTAGAATAGGCGAGGACAAATCAAATATTGCGGGGGATGGGCCGCGAACTGACCCAGAAGTTGAATTGGTGTTGGGCGCGCCTGACAGGTGTGGACTGGCTGGTGCGGTGTGTGCTTAGAATTGTCGCAGACAGTGCTTCCGAATTCTTCCGAGCAAAACGACTCGTTTCGATAAAATGGCCTGTGGGCGTCTTGTTGCTCCCGTGTTTGTTTGCCTACGTACTCGTTCGCGAGGGGCACGCTCATCGCTCTTATCTAGAACTATTCTGCTCGTTGCTCTCTGCTCTTGACTTGAAATGTGGTTGAGTGGCACCGCACGTGTGTGTGCTTTTCGCCGTGTGATTTGTAGTCCTACATCCCCACTTGACACTGAAATTCTGTAAATTATCCCACCATATCGAAAGCTCGAGTCGCCCTCGGAAAGAATGTTTGCACATCCTTAGATACGCCCATGCCCTCGCCCATATCTCGGCCATACTCAGGATATGGAGGGTCCATATCCACGACATGGCACATCCTGAATATTGCATATCCAAGATGCGGGGCCCACATCCTATCCAATCTCCTGGATATGGGACATTCAGCCTGTATTCTTCAGGCCCACCCCTACCGCGGCATCTTAAGAAAGAGATGTTTGTGTTCTGCTTGCAAATCGCTTTCTCTGCAGGTGGCTGCATTCAGTCAATCTGTAAATCACGAAACTGCAGTACGTCACACAGCAAGGGAAGACACTATGTCGAAATTGTTATGCTTAGCGTCAATTTGACACTGGGGGGATCCAGACCTGTGATGCTAAGAGATTATTGCAACAAAATCGACATAAGCTCGAACATACCCAAAACACTGCTGAAAAGTGGCAAGAAACTTATGGCCTGTCTCGAAACTTCCCTTTGCCGTTCAGACCTAAAAGGTCCCGTAAAGCCTCGATTGGCGGGCTTCAAAACTGTCCCCCGTCACCTGCCATCTCAGGTTGCAGCCTAAAATTGCGGCAGTTTTGGTTGCTTTTCTTTCTTCAAAACATAGTAAATTTGCACCGCACCATTATGTAATGTTGTGGAGTCATCCTGGCTTTGTCACAAGGATTGACGCTATGGAGAAAGGCGGGGTGGGGTGGGGTGGGGTGGGGTGGGGGTAGCATATAGATGGAGTTACAATGTATCGAGGCGAAACCTCGCCTTTTCCACCAATATTTCAGGTGCCATACAAGGGAGCCCAGAACAACACAAGGCACAAAAACAGGAGAGCGCATTGTTGGTCCACAGATCGTGCTCAGTATGGGGAGGGGGGGTCACATGGCTTCACACAGTAACGAGGCTAAACCCCTTCTTTCCACCAATGTGGCAGGAGCTACAGGAAGGAGCCCTGGAACAACACAAGGCACAAAAATAAGAGAGCGCATTGTTGACCACATTGTTAGTTGAGGGGGGAGTTTAACGTCAAATTGACGCTAAGAGTAACAAAATCGACATGGCGCCTTCCCTAACACGCAAGATGTACTATCGACATTTTACACATCGCTGTGCTATCTTTGAAACTTACTGCCCCTGCACATCCAATCGTGTGCTGCAATGTTCCGTGGATGTTCAGGGTGGCTGCAGCATAAAGACGGCCTTGATCCAGGTCACCTGTGCTCGGGCCATGTTCGACTTTTGAGCGCCTTCGACCCTGGCGCTGAAGCCCCATCTCTTAAGTAATGTCTCCTTCCAGCCGAATTCCCCTTGACGAAGGCCCCTACCCACATTTCCCACCCTTGACTGCAACATGCTGCAACGACACATGGCGTACCCAACGAACACCCCGCACTGCAAGCAAATGACGAAGGATCTGACTGCCGGGAGCTCTGAAAATCATGAAACGGAAAACCTAATCTACCAAATAGAAACTATTCCCAAAACACCGCTCCTTGGGCACACAACACCTGCCACCGCGCTTCTCTCCCGCTGTTATTGTTCTTACTTCTTATTTCCTGCCTGCTTTTCTCAGCTGCTTCCTTCTCATAACGAATGGTCTCACCCACTTTCTCAAAGGGAAAATGTTCTCACCCAATCGCTCAACGACAAAACGCTGGGTCAAAATGACACTTCCGACCCAATTCTTTAGTTTTTGTGTTAAAACAACTTCAGCTTCAACATTTTTAAACCAAGTTTTTTCAGGCGTTCTCGTCTCCGAAGCTCCCTTTGGTCAGCGTGTTGGGATCCAGCATTTCGTGCCGGCTGGAAGGCCCGCCAGGCCTGGGCATTTCCCTCCTGCTCTCCTCGCTCCGCCTCACCCTCGCCTTCGTCGCGTTGGTCTTCACGTAGCTGGACTTGAGCATGGCGGCGTCGACAATGTGGATGGGATCGACGATGGTGGCGGGGGCCACAACGCCCCTGCCGCTGCCGGAGCGCACGATCTTCGACTTGGCGAGCTTGGATTTGGTGTTGCTTTGCTCGAAGTGTGCCATGCGGCCGGCGAGGCGTGAAGGAATAACCTTTTGCGAGCACAAGGCATCGACCGCCGTTACTTTCCGTCCGCTAGGCAGGAGCAATGCGCACGGTGGGGAGGGAGATATAGCCAAAAAATAGAGCTTTGTGCTCCATGGGGATACGTCTGGCTTGGACGGGTGCTTGATTTGCATTCGGTGTCAGGTGATAGCTTGGCCTCTCGGATGAGGAGGTGTGCACACGTACCGCCCGCGCTTCGCAACGCACACGTGGCCGCAACAAATGCGCCGCCTCGGGCACGCAGGCCGCGAGGTCATGCAGGCAGCCTGTAGACATTAGTGCCGCGGCGTCGCTTCGGAATCGCTGATGCACCGCCCACGCAACAGAAGAAACCCGGTTGCACTTCTCCAGCCCTTATGGCCCTTATGCCTTTATGGGCACCGTCTCATTGCCTGGCATTGCCAAATGCTTGCATACACGGGACCAAATCGGTTTCAACATGCACAGTTTGGACATTCTTAAGCACGGTTCACTCTGCAAATGTAACATTCTTAGCAATGCAAAATAATTCACAAACACGAGAAGGGAGTGTGTGAACTAAGCAATGTTTGTAAGTGCAAGGGCAGCATTTCATTACTTGAACTCGTGCATGCAAAATTACCTTAAGAAGAAAAAAAATGCAGATTTATGCTGTTTTTTTGCATTTACTATTGTGCAATGCATGCTACACTCGTGAGATCCTTTGTCGCGCGCGTTCCACAGCCTCATTAATCTCAGAAGCCCTTTGAAACTGGGAACAGAATTTTTGTTCTGTCCTGAGCATTGCACAGAAGTCTAGCTGTGGGTGAGGTGTCAACATCTTCCGGAAAGGACTGCCCTTTCACGACTCCAAGGTGTTGGTGCAGTGCAGGCTGCGCTCTGAGCCACACCATCGAAATGATTGTGGAATCCAGACGGCGGCAAATCATAGCAGGCAAAGTGCAGCTTCTAAATCGGCTAATGCC